GGGCCCTGCCCGTGTCCCGGCTGGTGACTGGGCCGTGTCCTCTCCACGCCTCAGTTTTCTCGGTGGTAAAACGGGAATGATGACAGCAGCCGCCCCGAGGGTCTGCGAGGCTTGCGTGCGTGAGGACGTGTAGAGCAGGCGGACGGGCGGTGCTGTCGCTCAGAGCTCCCTGGGTGGCACCCTGCTGGCAGCCACCGAGGGGCCGCCTGGTTTCTTCCCTCGCCCTCCTGCCCCCAGAGGCCGGTGGTGGTGCGTCAGGGCGCGGTCACGGCTAACAGACTGTGCTTGCTTCCCCAGGAATGCGCCGACGCCACCCCAGCCCTGTCCCTGGCTGAGCTACGGACCACGTGCAGCGACAGTGAGCTGGCCGCGGAGTTCGCCAGCGCCATCCGCAGGTAAGCGCCCTCCCCACGCGTGCCGGGGTGAGCAGGAGCGGGCTCTGCCGAGCTGGCTGGTGCTCGGTCGCTGTCCGGGTCGCTGCATGCCGGCCTGCGAAGGAGAGACCGCGGTAAATGGGCGGTCCTCCACCAGGGGCTCGCTTCCCCGGCACTCACACCAGGCCTCTGTGCGGTTCTGGGAGACTTCTCTCGTCTCGGACTCCCACCCGACCTCTGTCTTCTCTCCAAGGAGCGCGGCTGATCAGGGTCGGGCTCCGGTGTGCCGTCTCAGGGCCTCCCCACCTGGCTCGGGCGGGACGCTCCCGTAGAAAGGTTCCCACCACCACAGCTACCGCAAGGTTTCTGTCAGCCTCTTGGCGCAAGTGCAAACGGGTGAAATTCATCTTAGCGGCATCTGACCTATGTATTAAAAATTCCATTTTCCACGTTACTGACTTTTTTTTTTTGGAAAACTTCTGAAGTTTTAAAAATCTTTCTTTTTGTACCTTTTTGTTTGTTTGTTTTGCTGAAAGACATATGCACTCACCAGAGACAGAAAGGGAAACTGCCCTCTGGGAAGCTGGCACGCTGGAATCCCTCCTCTTTCCTTGGGATTTTGGCCGCCCACTCGCAGGCGCCCAGCCTGTTTTTTGGGGTGCCAGGTCCAGGACTCGAACACACAACCAGCCATTTGGGACCCAGCACGTTAACCAAGCCCCTGGCCTGCCTTGCACTGAGTTCCCAAGAGCTAGTCTGTTGCTGCCTGTAGCGCTGCTCACGTCTGCTCCCTGGCCAGTGTGCCTGGCGGCCGGCCCCCTGGTGGCCCCAGTGGCCGTCGTCCTGGGGTGATTCCCCAGCGCCGTGTCCTGTCTCACCACTCTGCTCTCAGTTACATCCGTGTAGCGTTTGGCCTGTACGTCGAGTTTCGCTTTTACTTTTTAAAAACGTGATATCCTCCTGCATCCCCTTATGAGCATTTATTGCATAGTATTTAAACTCTTAGATCTGTCTGTTTCGGTTTAACGCCACAGGGCACATGCATGCACATGAGAGAGCTCCGCCAGCGGGGCCTGGCCACTGTGCCGCTTTCTTCCAGTTCTCCAGACAGGCAGGGCCCGGGTGCATGCTTGCCGCCAGGCTGGGACGTGACCCCTCCGTCAGCCCGGTGGGGCCGGCCTCCCTGCCCGGAGCTTAGCCGCTGAGCCGTGGGGCCACCCAGTCGTTTTCGTGTTACGTTAGCCCTCGGGTCCTCACACATACGTTCTTTTTCCCCAGTTGCCTGAGGGCACGTGGGTGATGCCCCAGCGCCGTGTCCTGTCTCACCACTCTGCTCTCAGTTACATCCGTGTAGCGTTTGGCCTGTACGTCGAGTTTCGCTTTTACTTTTTAAAAACGTGATATCCTCCTGCATCCCCTTATGAGCATTTATTGCATAGTATTTAAACTCTTAGATCTGTTTCGGTTTAACGCCACAGGGCACATGCATGCACATGAGAGAGCTCCGCCAGTGGGGCCTGACCACTGTGCTGCTTTCTTCCAGTTCTCCAGACAGGCAGGGCCCGGGTGCATGCTTGCCGCCAGGCTGGGACGTGACCCCTCCGTCAGCCCGGTGGGGCCGGCCTCCCTGCCCGGAGCTTAGCCGCTGAGCCGTGGGGCCACCCAGTCGTTTTCGTGTTACGTTAGCCCTCGGGTCCTCACACATACGTTCTTTTTCCCCAGTTGCCTGAGGGCACGTGTGCTGGCCAGAGAGCCCCCCACAATCAGGTGTGGAAGGCGTGGGCACACACACACACACGTGCCTGGCATGTTTTCCAAGCCACTGCCACTGGGATGCAAACTGCGATCAGATGTGCACGTGGTCAGCTCCTACACACGGGCTCAGCCACTGCCCGTGGGCCGGCCCTCGTGTGGGCCCTCCTCACAGTCCAGCTCAGTGACGGCTTCATGATGTGCTGCCTTTTTTTTTTTTTTTTTTTTTTTGGGGGGTTTTTTCATTGCGGGCAGTT